AAGCCTTCATCACTTGATTCAGCAGACCCTCAAGTTCCCGCAAAAGTTTCCAGCCATGTCTGAGAGGCAGCCGTGGGGCAGGGGCAGGCGAGAAGCAAGCTGTCCCAGGCCTGGCTGCTCCGGGCCTGGCCTCTGTTGCTCTGGTTCTTTCCACAACCAGCTGCTCCGGGTCTGGTCACTGCCGCTCCCGGCCTAGTTGCTCTGGACTTGGCTGTTGCTGCTCCAGGCCTGGCCGTACCCGACCCGGCTGCTCTGGGCCCGGTTGCTCCAGGCTCGGCTGCTCCCAGCCTGGCAGCTGCTGCTCCAGGCCTGGCTGCTCCCAGCCTGGCAGTTGCTGCTCCGGGCCTGGCCGCAACTGACCCGGCTGCTCTGGTCCTGGCCGCTCCCAGCCTGGCAGCCGCTGCTCCAGGCCTGGCCGCTCCCAGCCTGGCAACCACTGCTCCGGGCCTGGCTGCACCAGATCCGGCCGCTCCCGGCCTGGTCACTCCCAGCCTGGCAGCCGCTGCTCTGGGCCTGGCCACACCAGACCCGGCTGCTCTGGGCCCAGCTGCTCCGGGCCCGGCCACTCCGGGCCTGGCCGCTCCCAGCCTGCCAGCCGCTGCTCCGGGCCTGGCCGCTCCCAGCCTGGCAGCTGCTGCTCCGGGCCTGGCCGCACCCGACCCGGCTGCTCTGGGCCCGGCTGCCCTGGGCCCGGCCACTTCGAGCCTGGCCGCTCCCGGCCTGGATGCTCTGGGCTTGGCAACTGCTGTTCTGGGCCTGGCTGCTCCCAACCTGGCTGCTCTGGGCCTGGCTTCTCTGGGCCCGGCCACTCCGGGTCTGGGTGTTCCTGGACTGGCCACCCTGGGCTTGGCCGCCTCCGTCTCAGGCCTGGCTGCCACTGCCCCAGGTCTGGCTGCTTCAGTGCTGGCTGTTGATGCTCTGGTTCTGGCCGCTGCTTTTCTGGGGCCTGGCTGATGCTGCTCCGGGCCCAGCCGCCACTGCCTTGTGCCTGGCCACTCTAGGCCTGGTCGCCGCTGTTCCAACATTCTGTCCCTTTTTCTTTTTTTTCTTTTTTTTTTAAAAACACATTTATGTTGCAATGTTGGCTGGTGAGTTGAGTTCTGACTTAGTCTTTGATTTTTCAAGATCTTCTTTGTATTCTTTCTTAAGTAATTTTACTATCTTTTGCTCTCACTTGATTTCTTCACATTGAGAACTTCTTTGGTTTCTTCCTCCTTGTCCTGGGAACTCAGCAGGTTGGCCTGTGGCACCCCTTTGTTCTCCGCGGACTCCTGTGCTGCTTCAGCCTGTTGCTGGGGTCGGCGCTGCCCAGGAAGCAGCCCTCGGCCTTGGCTCTGTTGCCCGCGCTCAGTGGTCGAAGGCTCAGGGGCAACCCCCCCCCCCCTGGGGGCCCCGTCGCCTGACTCCCTGCCGGCGCCCGGCTGGCTGGTGTCCGGCAGGGGCTCCTGCTCCCTGTCACGTTCCTCCAGTCTGGAGCTTTCTTTCTCCCTCCCGCTAGGGGAGTCCAGGATCAGAGTCAACAGACTGTCCTCTGCGCACAGTGTGCGTGACTCCGGGGGCTCGGCCTTTTGCCGCTCTCCCAGGACTCCACCTCACAATCCCGTCTCCCTCTGCTTGAGCTTGGGTCCCCAGGGACTGGCCCAGACTTGGAGTTCGGGGCGGTCCGGATTGAGGCTCAGTGCCATCGGAGCCCCTGTTCCTTCTGGCTAGGGTAATCCAGCATCAGAGTCAACATTCAGTCCTCTGCGCACAAGCCTTTCACTGCTTCCCCCGGATTCCGCCTCGCAGCCCCGTCTCCCCCTACCGGAGACTGGGTCCCCAGTGTCTGGCCCATAACTGGGGCTCAGCGCTGCCGGTTCGGGGGTTCAGCTCAGGCTGGGGGTTCTATTTCCTTCCTGCTAGGGAACGCCAGGTAGCACCCAGCCCTCTCCTCCTCTCTGGCTGCAACCTGTCCGCGCGTGCCGGCGCACAGCATGTCTCCGTACCTTAGGTTTTTTTTCAGCTCCTCTGATTTTCCTTCTGGTTTTCTCCCTCCTTCCTATTGTAGAGTTTTCAGTCAGTCGACTACCTGTAGCTCTGGGCAATGTCCACTCTACATTTTAGTTGTATTCCATTGAAATTGTTGCGTGTTGCTGCGGTTAGATGTCTACCGGAGCAGCCATCTTGGATCCTCCCTCTCTTGCTGCTTTTAATATTGTCTTTTGCCGTTGGCATTTTAATTATGATGTGCCTTTGTGTGGTCCTCTTTGGATTCCTTTTGTTTGGAGTTCTCTATGCTTACTGAACTTGTAAGTCTATCTCTTTTACCAGGGGAAGTTTTCTGTCATTATTTCTTCAAGTAGGTTTTCAATATCTTGCTCTCTTCTTCTGGCATACCCATAATTTGGATGTTGGTATCCTTGAAGTTGTCCAGAGGTTTCTTACACTATTTTATATTTTTGGATTCTTTTTTCTTTTTGCTTTTCCAGTTGGGTTTCTTTTATTTATTTTTTTCTCTTCTTCTTTGTATTTCAAATCTTTGACTTGATTCTTGTGATCCTCTAGTCTGCTATTAGATCTCTGTATATTATTTTTTTTATTTCAGTCAGTGTATACTTAATTTCTAGTTGGTCCTTTTTCATTTCCTTGAGGGTCTCACTAAATTTACTGGCAGTTTCTAGAATTTTCTTGAGTAACCTTATAACCGTGGTTTTGAGCTCTATATCCAGTAGTTTGCTTTCCTCCATTTATTTCATTTGTGACCTGTGTCTTTGTCTCTGCATTTTTAAAAAAATATATATTTTATTAATTTTGTACAGAGAGGAAGAGAGGGATAGAGAGTTATTATAGAATCATTGATGAGAGAGAGTCATCGATCAGCTGCCTCTTGCACACCCCCTACTGGGGATATGCCCGCAACCAAAGTACATGCCCTTGACAGGAATCGAACCCGGGACTTTTTAGTCCCCAAGCCGAAGCTCTATCCATTGAGCCAAACTGGTTTCGGCTGTCTCCGCATTTTGGCTGCTTCCCTGTGTTGATAGGGTGGCTTTGTGTGTGTGCTAGGTGTTCTATAGGGCCCAGTGGCTGAGTCTCTCCAGTTACCTGAGGTGGACACTCTTGGTGCACCCCTTTGTGGGCTGCGTGCATAGTCTAGTATACTTAAGCCTTGATTGTTATAGATATCACTTTGAGGAATTTACCTCCAGGCCAATTGTGTCTATGATGGGGAAACTTCTGTGCTGGAGACACATTATGGGACAAGACTTGCTTCAGTGGGGCTTTGGCACTCACTGAGTCTGCCCCCTGAGTGTGTCTCTTAATGATCTGAAAAGTTGTAGTCTGAATCTCTCTCTCTGACCATTGGGCACACTGGCTCTTGGTTCTCTAAGGAGAGAGGCCACCCAGCAGGAGCTTCAGAGAGATCTGCAGATTTCTCCTCTCTGTTTGGGTTTGGAGGTGCCCAGATGAGGCCCAGCTGTGAAGCAATGCAAGCTGCTGTGGAGCCTTGGGTCTTCTTTTGGAGGCTCTGGGGCTCTTTGACCCAGTTGCAGTAAGTTAGGTTTCAGATTGCAAAGGAGCACGCCATTCATATGCAAAAGCCTCTATGGACAGCTTGGGTGGGGTTGTAAATTGGGTAGGGTGGGTCTCAGGGAATCACCAGGGTGGAGCAAACAGCAATGGCTGACCATCAGCCCTGCCTGGAAGAGATCCTGTGTCTCTGTGTCCCACAGTACTGTGTAGGAACAATGATCACTGCAAGCACCTCTGAGAGAAAGCCACCCTCAAGTTCTGCCCCATGCCACACAGGCCAGTTTCTTCCCATATGAGTCTGGGTCCCCAGAGTCTTGCCTAGAACTGGAGTTCAGAGCAGTCAAAGCTTTTATCTCCCTCTCAATTGAAAAAAACAACAGCATACTCAGTTGCCAGCCCCTTTTGAGTGTGCCTCAGTACCTCTGCATTTCACTTCTGCATCTCTGTACCTCCTCTGTGTCTTAGTGTTTTTCTCTTTCCTTCTAGTTGTATAATTTCCACTCAGCCAGCCTTCCTGTGGTTCTAGATACCTATTTTGTCTTTTAGTTGTAGTTTTGAAGTGGTTGTGTGAGGCAGCAAGTTCAGGTGCTTACCTGTGCCGCCATCTTGGTTTCTGGCCTTTCCTTTCTTAGTAGTGAGCTGTTAGGCTTCATCTCAAGCACAATTTCCCCAGGGTGTGCAGTGCCTTAGGGATCTCTCTGTCCTGTGGGGCAGAATTCCAGCCAACAAGTGTATAGTGATTTGTTGTGGTAAGGGCTTTCACAAGACTTTGACCTCAAGTGCCACTTGAGGATTCACACCAGTGAGCAGCAACAAGGTCATAGAGGGGCTACTGGATCCTGGGTGGGGGTGAAATAAATGGAGGGAGGTGCCTGGATGTAGAGTTTTTTTTGTTTGTGTTTGTGGAGGAGAGACTCAGCTTGGAATACCACATACTTAATCAGATGGGTGTAAAGATAGTACCAGAGTAGAGGTCTGCTGTGGGTTGTAAAGTGAAGACAGGTACTGGTTACAGGATACCAAATTGAAGTGTGCAAAGAGAAGCCTCCCTACACCCTCCTAGCTGCAGAACATCCTGGTGCCTAGCCCGTGTTTGTACTGAGGCTGCAGATGGTGGGGTAGAGGCTGTACTTAGAATAGAAATGGGGAAACATTCAGGGGGTAAGGTGGGTTGGCTTTGGTCAAGAGGTCACTGCCCTGTCTGTCCTATCCACCCAGGGATCCATCTTTCCCACTGTAGGGCTTGCTGGAAAGCCATTTACACAATAATACTTGCTTGAAACACATCTTGCGAAGATGCACGGTCAGCCAGCCAGCTACACTTACTGCTTACTGTGAGCTCCGTAAAAGTTACATGTGTGCAGGGACTGTGGCTTCACTAGCTCGAACCCAAAGCTTTCACGCAACACCAGGCCCTGCACTGCGCAGCTTGAGACTGTACACCCGGTGTCCAACCCATGAGAGGCGAATAAAACACAGGCTATGCATTCACAGAACGGAGTATTTATTACACATGGGGAAGAGTGGTTCACTCCGTCCAGCGGTGGCCGCAGTGAGGGGCAGTGCACACATAGTACAAGCGCATAGCGTCCTGGCAAAAAAGGATGCAAGGTTAGGAAGGTTCTGGACCCAGGGGAGGGCACAACATAGAACGTCCATTCAGCAGAGCCTCACCCCCAAAAAAAAGACAAGGGGCTTTTCTACTAGTAAGAGCCCAGCTCAGACGCCAGGAAGGGCAGGCTCCCCTCAGTATTGGTATTCCCGCTCCCAGGAAGGACCAAGGACACAGGATATCCAGAAAGCCTTCATGCCACTCACCTCCGCACGGGCACTGTGGGACTGGAAAAATACCGCCTCCTTGTGGCCGCACCTGAGGGGATAATTAGCCACTCAGTTACCAAACCCTTCCTTCCTCCTCCCCTTTCCCTCGAGTGAGGCCGAGCCCCTCTCCCTCTGGAATAGACAGCTGCGCGCTCACTTCTGGCACGGGTGGTCCTCGGTTCGCGGCAATGTGGGGTCCTGGGACACGTCAGCGATGATCTGGGTCAGTTCGCTGAGGGAGAAGAGGGTGGATAATTATGCTCTGACAGTGGCTCTAAGAACCCCGTCCCTAAAGTCCAGTCCTGCACTCACTCCACTTCGTGCGTGATTTTGTTGACGTAGATGCAGCTGTTGTCGGCTTCCTGCTGGTAATCACAATTCCGGCACTGCGGGAGGGCGAGAGTGGCCGGAAAAAGGCAATTGAAAGGGAGGGCAGAGTCTTCCCCGGAGAGGATGATTAGGGGTCTCAAGGTTGGGATAATGGGGTGTATCGAGAATCACCTCGAGATAGGGAAAGGCGGGGATTCGGATTCATTTTGGGACAGAAGAAACCAGGACAGTCGGGCGGCAGAGAGTAGCGGTCATGGGGAGTGGGGCGAGGCCACGATGGGAACGGGTGGACCCGGGGAAGACCGCGGACTCGTGCTCACCGCGTACAGCAAAATGCGGTTCTCCTTGTCCTCCTTGGGGTAAAGCATGTTGTTACTGTGGGGACGGGAGACCAGAAGTCAGTCTGGGGCCATTACTTGCTCCCCTTCCACACTTGTTGCCCCGACTCACCATTCCTGGCAGAATCGAATACCCACGAAACCCGGCTCGTAGGTCCCGTCCGGGTCCATCGCGCAGCACTGCCTGCCAAACCTTCCGCGCTCGCTCCGCCTCACGACCGGTCGCGGGAAGGGTCAGTCTTACTGGCTTCGCCGAGAGAGGGGCGGAGCTGCACACAAGCACTGGCTGCTAGCGGCTTTGTGCTCGGCTCTCTGCGTTTAGATTTGATTAATTACCTGCTTCAGTCTTTTGATATCCTAAAGTAATTGGTTCTGAATGTGGGCCTCGCTTCCCCAGTTTATAGAGTAGTATGGGACGAGAGCCCGGAATACGACGCGTCACGTAACGCGAAAAGCACTTAGCAATACTTCCAGAAGCCACTGCTCTCGGGGAGCCGAGAGCACATGCGCGAGTTACCCTCGGGGCGGGGTGGGGAAACGCCTGCCAGTCCTTCTCCCGGCTTCACCCGCGCCGCCCGGCCGTTTCCCGGGCTGCTATTGGAAGACCTGCACCCAGCCCGGCCTCTCAGGATTGGCTGTACCTGCTAGGAAAACGGGAGCGCTTCCGGGGCTGAGGAGACAGCGCGATTGGCGGACCTCCCTGCAGGAGAGCGGGGAGAGGTTGATATCCCCGTAGTGGCCTCGGTGGAGCTGGCGTGCGGCGGCTGACGGGGCTGCAAACTCCCCATCACCACCCCCAGAGCGCAAGATGGAGGTGACGGGGTTATCGGCGCCCACCGTGACCGTTTTCATCAGCAGCTCTCTCAACAGCTTTCGCTCCGAGAAGCGGTACAGTCGCAGCCTCACGATAGCTGAATTCAAGGTGTGGCCGAGGGGCGGGGTCCGGAGGGGATGGGCACAGGAAAAATGGATGGGCTTCCCGATCGCAGGGAGGGGCCAGAAATAAACCGAGGTTGCTAGGATTCGGGACCGGGCCTCAGTGGGGCGAGGCCAGAAGGAACCGGAGGTGCCAGAGAAGTGGGCAGGGCCTGGGAAAATCAGAGGTTTCAGGGGGCGGGGACAAGAGCAGAGCGGGCAGGGCCAGTGATAACCACTTGGGTCCTAAAATGATGGGTCTCTTGGAGGAGTAAGGATGGGGAGATGGTTATTGATACAAGGGGCAGAGAGTCTGGGTAGAGGGTCGAGCCACTGACAGACTTCCTCCTCTCCAACTTCTCCACATCCCTTACTCCTCGCAGTGTAAACTAGAGCTGGTGGTGGGCAGCCCTGCGTCTTGCATGGAACTGGAACTTTACGGAGCTGACGAGAAGTTCTGCTGCAAGCTGGATCAGGACGATGCGCTACTGGGCTCCTACCCCGTAGATGACGGCTGCCGTATCCATGTGAGTCCTCCCTACCTGGGATTCCTCTTCTCCAATTATTTATTTATTTATTTTTAATATGCTTGTATTGATTTTAGAGAGAGGGGAAAGGAGAGGGATAGAAAGATAGAAACATTAATGAGAGAGAAACATCGATGGATTGCCTCCTGCACGCCCCCTACTGGGGCCCAGCCTGCAAGCAGGCCTGTGCCCTGGGAATCAAACCCAGATCTCTTGGTTTATGAGTCGTTGGCTGGGCTCCATTCATTATTCATTTATTTATTTTCCATTCATTTATTTAACAAATGCTTTGTCCTGTGTGATAACCAAGATAGGCCCCCATGAAGCCTGTAGTCCAGTATGGAGAGAGTGGTTTGGGTTGGGGGCAAGCCCAGGTAACGGGACACACAGAAGAGGTGCTTGACTCCATCTGGGATTATCAGAAGGGGATTTCTGAAGAAAGAGATGCCTAAGCTGAGACTTGAAGAATGAGGAAAGGACGGTTTAGGAGAAGAGCTGGGAAGGGATGCCAGCTGGAAGAAGCAGTATACAGAGGCCTATAGTGTGAGGTGGGTCAGGGTGAGCAATGAGATGTGTTGGGAGAAGCTGGAACACAAAGGACCTCTGCATGCATCAGCTCATATAATCTTCTCTATCCTCACACCCACCCCGACCCTCTGCCATATTCTTCAGGCATCTCAGCATCCCAGGTGAGGTTACCTTCAAATATGCTACACATTGAATGTAACCTGTGCCTGAATGGCTCTTTTTCTATGCTCACATGACTTACTCTTTCCTTCCAGTCTTTAATTAAATGTTAACTTTTGAGTGTGAGGCCTTCATTGGCTTCAGTGTAAAACTTAAACTTCCTTTATTTGATTTTTGTCCATGGCTCTTATCTTCCTGTGACATACTGTGCATTTTTCCTTAGCACCTGGAACAATTCCTGGCACAGAGAGGATGCTCAGTGAATCATTGTCGGATGAGAGTTGAGTTCATAAAATAAGACTTGGAAGATGGCATAATTAACCTTATTTTGCAGAAGAGAAAACTTAGCTTTACCCAGCCAGTGTAGCTCAGTGGTTGAGCATTGACTTAAGAACCAGGAAATCACAGTTCAATTCTGGGTTAGGGCACATGCCCAGGTTGTGGGTTTGATCCCCATTGGGGGTGTGTAGAAAGCAGCTAATCAATGATTCTCTCTCATCATTGATGTTTCTATCACTTTCTCCTCCCTTCCTTTCAAAAATCAATAGAAATATATTAAAAAATAAAAACAAAGAACAACTTAGTTTTAAGATGGAAAATACTGTCGTAAAGGTGAACTATAGCTACATGTTTTACTCAGTCTGCATGACTCTAGAAGTCAGTGTGCCCAGAGAACTGGTCCTTTTATTTTTTTTTAAACATTTTAATATCAGCCGAAACCGGTTTGGCTCAGTGGTAGAGCGTCGGTCTGCAGACTGAAGAGTCCCGGGTTCGATTCCGGTCAAGGGCATGTACGTTGGTTGCGGGCACATCCCCGATAGGGGGTGTGCAAGAGGCAGCTGGTCGATGTTTCTCATTGATGTTTCTATCTCTCTATCCCTCTCTCCTCCTCTCTGTAAGAAATCAATAAAATATATTTAAAAAAAAAGTGTTTTGTTTTGTTTTTTTTAATATATTTTATTGATTTCTTACAGAGAGGAAGGGAGAGAGATAGAGAGCTAAAAACATCGATGAGAGAGAAACATCGACCAGCTGCCTCTTGCACACCCCCTATCGGGGATGTGCCCGCAACCAACGTACATGCCCTTGACCGGAATCGAACCTGGGACTCTTCAGTCTGCAGACCGACGCTCTACCACTGAGCCAAATCGGTTTCGGCAAAAAACAAACAAAAAAACAACAACTTTTTAATATCATTTTATTTAGTGACTGTTCATTGAGCATTTGTGTTATACCAGAAGTATAGCTATGAACCAAATCTGAGAAGGTTTCTGTTTATCTCTGTCCAATCTGAGATAGATGTTAGCTAAATATTCACAAGAACAAATATGAAGGGTCAGTGTGGTGAAGACCACGCAGAAGGAGATAAAGAGCTGGAAATCCTATATCAAGGGACATGACTCATTAATGAGAACTTCCGAGAGGGGGTGCTGCCTTAGCAGAGACCTGAATAGGAAGAGTTAACTAAAGAAGGAAAAAAAGTGCCCCAGGAGAAGGGTACAGCATGTGCAAATACTCTGAGATGGGAGGTACAAGTGGGTACAAGAGACTGAATAGTGTCCACTCCTATGGCAGAGGGAAGTGGGAGCCAAGGGAAGACTCTGAGTTAGGAGAGCCTGGTCTGACTGAGGGTTCACAGGCCCTCTCTGATTCTATGTAGGGAGCAGAGTGGAGGATAGAAGGAATGGGAAGACAAGTGAGGAGGCAACTTGCATAGTCCAGATGATGTGGTAGGGTGGGAGGAGCCAGGACTGGGTCAGCATTGTATGGAAAGACCACAGAACAGATTGGGCTGCCCTGAGCAGCCTCAGCTTAGGGATGCTGGTAGGCCAGGCATGGCCAGTGGCATCCTCTAACAGGAGGTTTTCACACATGAATTTGGGTATAGAAACAGACTGACTTCTGAGGCCATTCAAGGAAGATCCCTGGGGAATTTTTATTATTTCTAAAACTTTTTCTGTTTATAAATATTACCTGTAAAATATTTAAAGTAACAGCAACCTCAAACTTACAAAAATCCCTAATATAGAAGTAGAAATTCTTAGCGACCCTTGACCAGAGGTAAGAGCTTTTTTTTTTTTTTTTGTATGTTAGCCCTGTGGTTCAGGACAAATACCTCAGAGTGTTTCCTGAGCCCTCTATTTTCCTCACACCCATATCCAGTCTGTCCCCAAACCCTGCGGGCTCCACCTACAAAATCTGTTCAGAATCTAAACTCTTCTCCCCCTCCAGTGCTCCTCCCTGGCCCAGCCTCCATCCTCTCCCTCCTGGACACCAGCCACCTCTATCTCCTGCTCCCATCACCCCTCTTGCCCCCAGATGTGTTCTCCACACACAGTCAGAGGGAACCTGTGAGCTCTCCTGGCTCATAGCCTTCCTGGCTGCACCTCATTCCAGGTAAAAGCAAAGTCTGTTGTGTCTCCCACGTCCCTGGCTTATTCACACAAGCCATGCTGGTCTCCCTGATGTTCCTCAAAAGGACTAAGGACAGTTCTGCAGCTGGGACTTTGTGCCTGCTCCTTTTCATCCTTCAGGTTTTGGGTCAGACATTCCCTCCATTTAGAAGCCTTCCCTGACTATATTCCCAGGCTCCTTAAGCTTCTTTGCAGTTGTTTTTTTTTTTTTTTTTTTTTTTACATCAAACTTTGTTATCTTTTGGTGTTTATTTTATTTTATTATTTTTTTAAATATATTTTATTGATTTTTTACAGAAAGGAAGGGAGAGGGATAGAGAGCTAGAAACATCGATGAGAGAGAAACACCGACCAACTGCCTCCTGCAGATCCCCTACCGGGGATGTGCCCACAACCAATGTATAATACATGCCCTTGACCGGAATTGAACCTGGGACCCTTCAGTCCGCAGGCCGACGCTCTATCCACTGAGCCAAACCAGTTTTGGCTCTTTTGGTGTTTAATACGTACACCTGCATATTTGTATATGGTCGGTCTTCCAGCAGGCATTTATCTGTTTTTGCACTGCATCCCTAGCACCCAGCACAGGGTCCAGCTGGGCGCTTTGGAAGAGCTCAGCAAGCAGTGAGTTAATGAACCTTGAGGGTGATACAGGAAGAGATGCCACAGGGTAGGGATGTTGAGGCTTCGTAAGAGGCTCTCAGAAGCCCAGAGAGTAGAGAGGACAGATGTGCTGCCTAGAGGGTTCATGTGTAAGACCTGAGCTACACCCTTTGGTTCTTGTGACTTGGGGGCCAGCAGTGATGTTGACACCAGCATTCAGGGTTCATATAGGGGTGAGGAAAGGGAGATGACTAGTGCAGACACTTGGTCTCATCCTTCTGTTCGGCTCAGGAGATGAGATAAAGTGAGGGTAGAATATAGTTTTTCTTAGACAG